TACAAGAGTGACCGGGTATATATGAGAAGAGAGAGGGAAAAGAGATGGGAAATATGGCTATAGCAAGCAGCCGACAAGAAAGAAGAAGGCATGTTGCCTACTTAATCTAAACCTTACACAAAGACAATACCCCAATCAGTCTCCTCCCTTAAATTAAGGGAAAGGTGATTAAATACCCTGACCCTAAATATTACAATGAGCCTTACCCTAGAGATTTACCCTAGGGGTCACCTTGGTAGTAGACTTGAAAATCACGAGTGGGTATTCCATATGTAGCATCAGTAGATGCAGCATCACAACGCAGCATCAGTAGATACAACATCACAACGCAGCATCAGTCATATGTAGCATCACAACATGTAGAGGTAAAGACAAACGAAAAAACACATAAAGTGATGCTGACAAACAATTTTTATGGACACAAAATGTTTTTTGTGCCCAATTTCAATAAAAAAAGTTGTCATCTGACCTCACTCGGCACGGTTTCCGTGCCCATTATTGTTTTGTGTCTGCTTTTTTTAACATTGGGCACAATAGATGGTGCCCTCTATGGAATGGGAACTGTTTAAGCTTTTTGGTGGTTAAACTGACACAAAATTCTTAATTGTGCCCTTTATTTTGTACCCAAAGCTCATTTTTGTTGTAGTGATTACACAGCTCAAAGTCTTTGTGTTTTTCCTTAATCAACATTTCTAGGAGGAAGCACCTCTAAGGTGCTTCTCAAAAACCATTTCAAATGCTTCCTACTTTTTATCCAAAGCAGTTTTAAATTTTTTTCCAAATAACTAATTTTCAAATGAAGGTTCTTTTACGCCTTAAGAATCGCTTTTAGCTCTCCCAAAAGCACATCGACCCGGTATTTAATTTCATTTTATTGTTTGTTTAATGTGGAGGAAAAAACAAAGCAAGATTCAAACTTTCCTATTAACTTGAGAGTAAAATGCTTTGGTCAAAATAAATAAAATAAAATATTTAGACAAGATTTTGGTGTACCATACGATGACAACTCGAAATAATTCATCCCTATATCTGTCTTATTCCTATAGTTTCTTCAAAAGGGGTACAAAAGTGGTTTTTTAGTCACTAATCTTATTATATCAATCAAATTACTGGATCAAACATGACTTACATGTCCTTAATGGCATGGAAAATACTCAACTATGTAATAATTTATTATTAGTGTGGGAGATAATGTAAATCCAACATCCAATGTTAGAAAAACCAGACTTCCGAATTTGAATATGCAGGCTTTGGCCTGCTTGCCCGGAAACACCCATGGCCACTGTTTCTGATTTTCTGATCGATTAGGTTGACTTTTTGAAAGTAAATCCTCTGCATGGTACCACAATTTGGATTCTATTTTTTGGTGAGCTGCTATTTGATTCCAGAATAATGCGATACTTGTCACGTATTTATATCAATATATGTGAGTCTCATCTTTATTAAAAAGATAGTACAAATAATGATACAAATATATGATAAAAGTAGCATTTTTGTTGATTCCGTTGCTAGAGACATATGTAAACATGAGTAATAATACCATGAGAGTTTTTGGTACACACTCGTGTATACTATACAATGACATTTGTGGTAGTTGAATGTTTAACTATTGGACCTTGGTTGCAAATTCAATGATTCTTACATCTAGTGCATTTGTGCATGTCATAGATTGAAGTATAGTAGAGTTTCCGGTAATACCATAACCACCAAAACATAGCCTACAAAGTAGGATCCTAAGATTCCTAACTGAACCAATGATGTACTTCGTCTTACACGAACTCATTCAGTAATTTATAACTTAGTATCCAGTTTCTCAGATACAAAAGTGAATACTCTTAAATAAGTAGATTTGAATGACAATTCTTTATTTTAAAACTATTTCATTTTACAAAAAAGAAAAAAAAACACTAACTTAATCAACTGATGAAATCTTAACTTGTAACATTATCGAAACTGATAAGGAGAGAGCTTTATTTGGAAGGGACTAGGGCTGGGCACGGGCCGGGCCTGGCCCAATTTTGGAGGAACCGGACCTACCCGTTTTAAAATGTAACCGGGGGGGGGGGGGGCGGGCCGGGTACAAGGATTGTAAGTTTGGAAACTAGACCTAACCCAACCCGTTTGAAACGGGCAGGTTCGGGAAGGGTCCACGGGTCCAATTACTTTTTTTTTTTCCATCATCTTTCTGAGATTTCTCAGTCCCCAGTACCCAAACAAAAACCCACCTCTTGGATCTCATTGCCCCTCCATATCCTACAAATTTCCCATTTCCTATTCCCTTGCCGCTTCAGATTCCACCTCCCCATTTCCCCATTCCCAATTCCTACTTCGGCCACCTCTACTTTTGTTTTGATATAGAGCTCCAAAACTGATTTCTCGATCAACCTGTGAAGGATCATTTTCAAATGCATGAGTCTAAACTGTGAGGGAGACAAGCTAACAATGAGAAACAAGGGGCTTCATTTTTCAAATCACAAACAATCTACCTGTGAAAGATCAATTTCAAATGCATGAGTTTCTTTTTCTTCAGCCGCAGCTGCTAGTTCTGCTTCATTTAGCAAATCACTGGGACCAGCTCTAATTTTACCCATTGTTTTGCTAATGGTAAAATCATCAACATTTCTTGAAACCCACCTTTTGCATAAAGAACTCCATCAATAGCTAATACAGTGACAACAGCTGCAGCAATAGCAACCATACCTACACCAGTAGCTGAACCATCGGTGGTGAATCGGTGAAGGTCTCGGGTGACGAAGGTAAATCGGTGACAGTTTGATTGGAATCCGTTCGTGTGCCAGTGATGTCAGCGTTCGGTGATGTCGGCAAGGAGAGATAGCAGTGGTAAAAGATGAGTTGAGTGGGAAAAGAGGCTGGGTCACTCGGAGAAACAAATCCCATCCATTCATTCCATTTTAGAAACGGCCCGGACGGGGCCCCATGCTTTTACATATTTGGAATTTCCCTACCTCGTGAATACCACCTCCCCGCCCCGCCTTGCCCCGCCCCGCCTCGCCCCGTTTCTTCTTTAGAAAAATTGTACCCGGCTTGTACTCGTCCCGAATCGCGATTAACCACCCTGACCCGCGGTTCTTAGACCCATTTGCCCACCCCTAGAGGGGACTCGGATACTTGTCATGGCAATGATGATCCAATGAAAAATGTTAAGAAGACTATTTTAAAGTGAGACTCTTCATAGACTCTCTAATATCTCACAGTTTAACTTTAATTTTCGTGTTAACATATAAAACATTAATTATGCTAAAAATATGAGGTGACAGAGAATTCCACTTTTAAGATAATCTTCTTTCCAGTTCTCATGATCCAATTAAGCATGCTCTCACATTGAGGAACATCAATCTCCTTGTTGGTCTTATTATTCTGATGACCAATGATTAGGGATCTTAATATTTTCGCAGCTAAAAGAAAAAATAAAAATAAAAATGCTTTGTTTTCCTAAATAAAATATTTAGAAAGCAATTGAACGTCTAGTGTACAGCAATGTCGTGGTTTGATCATGATGATGGTTTCCTTCCCTTTTATCTTTTCGGCCAAGAAATCAAACCCAAAACGCATCATTATTTATGGGCCGCTTTTTCATATATAGCAGAAGAAAGAAGGCATCAAGTCTTCTGCTTTTTTTATTTGTTAAAATACCAATTACCAACCTCTTAGTACTGCAATCTGGTAATATTTCTCTTCTATAGACAGTTTAGTGATATCCCAAAAAGCATCAAGTTTTAGGTTCTATTCTCGTCAAAGACGTTAAAGACGAATTTAAACTACATTATATTAACTCATTGTGAGGCTCAGACCATATTTTCTTTTAATGAAGATAATATCGATTATGAAAAAACAAACACCAATTAGCACAAACAAAGCTTGTTTTTGCTTAATAATTAGGTCTAGGAATTTGTTGCACTAAAATCCCGTTAGAAAAGAGACAACCTCACAGCAAAGCACAATCAATTCCCCAAATACCACACTTTCTAACTTTTAGCCGTTGCTCAAGAAGTTGGTAAAATTATATATTTCTAAAAGAACATCAATTTCTTTTATCAAACAATTTATGGATTTAATGATTAGAATCATATATAGAAGAATATTTCATCTAAGCAACATTTCATGCGTTTTTTTTTTTTTTAAGGAAAATCTCGACAGAAAAAAAATTTATTGAATAAAAAAAAAGTTATACTTGATCAGAAAAAACATAAATATTACCCCTCAAAATAAAGCAATATTTCATGTTTGATGTTTTAACAACAAAGTATATTGAGCTTGCGGTTTTAACAATAAAAAAGTACATAAAATTGAAAACCGTTTATATTTGATATCTCATCTAGGAAGCTAATTTCATAATTTGTATTTTACGAGCAATATTAATGTTGAAAATGAATTCCATATTGACGAGGAGAGGGACTTGACATAGACTTATAAGATGTTGGGCTTTTTCCTATTTTGCTAATTTGTTTTATAGTAGAAACTTAAATTTCTTCATGCTATCAGAGTATGTTGTCCCACATGTGAAGCCCAAATGCCACACGTGCTCCACCTCACCCGAGTTATATTGTCCAAGTGTTCGACTAGAAAATTTGTTATGCGTGAGGAGGAATATTGAGAATAAATCTTACATTGATGAGATGAAGGACCTTGCATGCTCTTATAAATTGTTCTTATATGAGTTTGAGTTAATCTCCATATTATCATTTGATTTTATAATATATATATAAAAAAAAACAAAGGAACTCGGAACTTTAGATACAATTATAAATTGTTCTTTATCGGATCATGGTCAATTACTGTGGTCAATCAAATAACCAAAAACATTGGTAAATTTAGTAGGTTAGTCATTATAAAAAAAATCCAAGGGAAATTAATTAGTAAATTTAGTAACGCCTGGGCTAGAAAAATGAAAATATTAAAATAAAACAAGACCAAAATCTGAATGGGGTCCACATTAGAGCGGCTATAAATGTCCAATCTTGCTTTTCACAACCAAGTCCTTCCATCTTCTCTCCCCACCCAAAAGCACTCCCCATTCGGCAGCAGTCGGCACCTTCTCCCGCACACCGTCCCTTGTTGTCACTTCACTCGGACCATTTCACAAACACGCCACCTGCATTCCAAATCCCATCTCCGTCCGATTCACAATGGTCGACGTCGACCGGCGAATGACCGGCCTCAACCCGGCTCACGTAGCCGGCCTCCGCCGCCTCTCCGCCCGAGCCGCTGCTGGCCCACCAACCCCGACAACCGCCTCAAAATCCACCCTTCCCGTACGGAATGGCCTTCTCTCCTTCGCCTCGTTAGCTGACAACGTCATATCCCACCTCAAAAGTTCCGGTTTCCAGGTCCAGCCGGGTCTGTCCGAATCCGAGTTCGCCCGGGCAGAAGCTGAGTTCGGATTCATATTCCCTCCCGACCTCAAAGCCATTCTCTCAGCTGGGTTGCCGGTGGGCCCGGGTTTCCCGGACTGGCGCGCCGCCGGTGCCCGCCTCGGTCTCAAGGCCTCGCTCGACCTCCCGATCGCTGCGATTTCGTTTCAAATCGCGAGGAACACCCTTTGGTCTAAGTCCTGGGGTCTGAGACCGTCCGACCCGGAAAAGGCCTTGCGGGTCGCGAGAACCGCTTTGAAGAGAGCCCCGCTTTTGATACCAATTTTCAACCATTGCTACATTCCTTGCAACCCCTGTTTGGCGGGGAACCCCATCTTCTTCGTCGACGAGAATCGGATCTTCTGTTGCGGGTTGGATCTATCCGATTTCTTCGAGCGGGAGTCATTGTTTCGGAAATCGGAGACCGACCCGTATATCCTAAAGAAGCAGAGATCAGTGAGCGAGAAATCGGCCGGGTCGTCTTCGAATTTCTCGCGGCGGAGCCTAGACACTGGTTACGGGTCAGGAACCAAAACACCGAGATGGGTCGAGTTTTGGAGCGACGCCGCCGTGGATCGTCGCCGGAGGAATTCAAACTCTTCCTCGTCCTCGTGCTCTTCGCCGGAAAGGTTCTTCGATATGCCGTCGAGGTTCGAAATCCCGAAATGGGTGGACGAGTACATTGATCAAATCGGGTCGGCTTTGAGACAGGGCGGGTGGAGCGACACGGATATATCAGACATTGTTTCCGTATCGGCCTCCGGCTTTTTCGAGGGAGAAATGGTCATGCTGGATAACCAAGCGGTGCTCGACGCGCTGCTGCTTAAAGCGGATCGGTTCTCGGATTCGCTCCGAAAAGCCGGGTGGAGCTCTGAGGAAGTTTCGGACGCTTTGGGTTTCAATTTTCGACCCGAGAAGGAGAGGAAACCGGCTAAGAAGCTGTCTCCGGAGCTCGTGGAAAAAATAGGGAAACTGGCTGAGTCGGTTTCCCGGTAATATTTGCATTTTTCTATTTTTTAAAAATAATTTTTTGGGAAATTGAAAGGATCGTTGGGCCTCGGGTTTCGGGTTTCCCCCATCGGGTTAAAAAAATCGAATACATAGGGGGACGCGTTTGTATTATTAAACAAAGATTATGAGTAAAAAAGACAAAATGAAGAGTTCAAATTACAAGGAAATAATTTAAACATAAATAATTGATAATCCTATTTTTAAGACAAAATTATGGTTTCTGTAATTATGTTGTTGGCTTAATTATGTGGAAACAGCTCATACTGATGGGTTTATTTAGTTGTACAAAAGCATAAAAATACTATTAATTAATTTTATTATGATTGGTTCTTTTGTTTAAATTGGTTTATCCTCCTTTCTGTATTAGTGTTATTTTTCTGTACTTATGATTAATAGTTTTATGTTCGATTTTTATGAGCGATTGGTTTTAAGTTAGACTTTCGTGAGTAAATGACAAAATGTTCTAATTAATAGCTTGTTAGCGTCTCCTTTTCAACTTTCTGTCTTTGAATTCAGATCCTCTCTACCCCTTGTTTAACTAAATTATTATTCGTTAATTCATTGTGCAACTTAGTGGAATTTTTCATTTTTAATATTGTTTTGAGAAAAAAAGCTAAAGAGACTCTTTTAAAGAATGGTTTTTCATAGATTTTCTGACAACTTACGGTTTAACATTAATATTATAAAATATTGTAGAAAAAAATGATGTGTGAGAGAGTCCACGGAAGTATTAATTTTGAGAGAGTTTTTGTAATATTTCTCTATTATTTTATAGGAAGAAAGAATGGGGTAATGGTTTCTTGGGGGTAATGCACGTGTGCTATCTTTTAAAATTTTGGAACTTAGAGCGCCCCAACCAAAGATTTGGCGATGGTGCGATGCGCTGGGCTGTGTTCTGTGTCCGCGTGGGACAGCATGATATGCTTCCAGGCGGCAGTGAGCGAGCAGTGGCTAAACGACACCGTTCTCATGGGGCCAAAGCAAAGTAGGGGAGTGCGGGAGGGAGGAATGGCATTGGCAGGTGGGAAGTGAAACCAGGAAAATGTCAGTAGTGGCAAAATTAAAATTTACTTCCCTTGCCTTGAAATTTGGGAAAAAAAAAAGGAGAAAAATTGGACATGGATCCTCTTCGGATTTTGGTTGTAATTCACCAAATTTAGTAATCCGGATCATTTAAATTTGATCAAACGGTTAAAATTATTATAATTTTAAAGTGAATTTTTATTTGTAACCGTTGAATTAAATTTCAATGATCTGAATTACGTAATTTGATGAATTATGATCAATGAATCCTGAGGGCATATCCATGTCCGAGAAAAATAATGGTATTTGAAGAAAAGAGTGAATGAGCCCGGACATGGAAGAAACCCTCTCCTATGTGTTATGCTTTTAAGACACACAACTACTATCGTACTAGCCTACTAGCCTACTAGCCTACTAGGTGTGTCCGTGAATTTTGGTCCCAAAAACGGATTTGAATCATTTTGGAGGAATCAATCGATCATAGCCCCTTATTACACACTGTGGCTAAAAGTTATTATGCCATGTAAAAAAAATTAAAAATTTAAATAATTTATGACAGCAGGATGTGAGATGAATGGTTATGATTTTTTGATTTCTAGGATTCTCAAAATAAGGACTCAAAGAGAATCCTGATCACCAAAGAATTTTGTATATGTACGTATTAATTTTGTGGATAATTGGCATTTTAAGTAGGTCTATTTTTTGGACTTCCTTTTTTTGTTGTTGTTTTAAACGATAATATGCATTTACGACTTACACACTCAGTAATTCTTGCTGAATGGAGTAAGCATAGCACTTTTCTAAGAGAATTTTCGGAAGATTAAATACTTATTTTAATTTTTGGAAGTGTGCACCTGACATTTGTGTCGTGTTTTTCATGTTCGTGTCGTTTTCATATCACACCGGATATCTTAACGGGTCGTGTTGTGTAACACCTGTTAAAATAAACGGGTAAAATGACCCGACCCGATAATATTAACAGGTAATATGACCCAACCCGTTACCTGTTAAGAAAAATATATTTTAAACCAATAAATAATCAAATGAAAAGTATAATACTAAATAAGTATATATGTGGATGCAAATTTCTTCATCTTTGATCTTGGACAAAATTGCACCTACAAAACAATTAATACCTTTGGTTAAAGCCAAAAGCCTCACGCGCACACGATGAATGGGGGGTTTTGGCCGAAGAACCTCCGATGCCAAAGTTAGAATTTAGAGAGAAAAATGTTTAGAGAGTTTTTGGAGTTTTGCAAGAGTGTGGACTTAGTCTTTCAAAGAAAATGGAGTCTTATTTATAGAGCATGGCCGGCTGTTAACCCTAAAAACTACCAAGCCTACGTGGCGCGCAGGCCGAGTAATTAACAAGCTAACTACGTCATTCGGTTGTTTACGGGGCGTGCCAACTCATCGGCCAGGCTCGGCCGAGGAGTAAAATGTGTTGATGTTGCGTTGAGCGCGCGGCTGACTTCTCGATCTTGCGACTGCGGCCGAGGAAGGAACACTCTCGGCCTTCGAGTTCTAGAGCCTGAAGACAAGGCTACTAGTTCTGCGAAGTTCACAGATCGTCGGCGTCAGATTTGGTCACAGTGATTATATTCGTAAAAGTATAAGCACGCCGAATTGACACTAGAGTATAGGGACACAGGTACTCAAAGAAAATGTATGTCTTGATCGTGAAAGTGGTTCGGCCGTCAGAATGCCGAACTCTGAAACTTACTTAAGAATACCCAATCATAATCAACTTGGCGTTTGATGTGCCGAGCCCTAGTAACACCTCACTTTGCCGAGAAGGCTGATGAGATGATCTCTGCCAATAAGGATCCGAAAATCCTTCTCGACCGAGACTTGGATAGATAACTAGTCGACCCTGTTGCAATGCTGTTTATCCAAACTGAATATGCTTCACAGTCGGCTGATTCTACAGCAATAATGCTGTTTATCCAAACTGAAGATGTTCCCCGGTTGCCTCCACAGTGCTGTTTATCCAAACTGAAGGTATGTCGGCAGAAAAAGAAAACAAAAATCTCAAGGTTGTTGAGAGGTTTCGGGTAGAGCGAGGGTTTATGCAGGGCAGTTTGTGTATTGAATTGGAGGGGCTTGTTCGATGTCCTCCCTCCCTATTTATAGTAACCAACCTGTATCGAATCCCAATCATTCTCGGATTAGAACTCCTTTCCCCGATTCAACCTTATCTTGGCCAGTCGTACTCCTGTTAGGACTTTGAACTTAACTCATTATCAGGCCGCATTCAATTTCAAACTCTAACATCCTTATCCTGTCGAAACTCCTTCTCATAATAGGCATCACCCACATCCCATAGGTTCCCGACGGGATATGGCCAGCTTCGACAACGTGGCCCATGAGCTAGATACCTCTCTAAACACAACCTTTGGCCTGAGAACAATTCTACACTCGGCCCAACTAGCACCGGGCCGAGAACAATTCTAAACTCGGCCCAAACCAATATTTTTGGGCCCAAACATTGCCCCCTCGCTTCTGAGGTCGTCAACTTATACTCCTTGGTTTGAGCCTGGACCTTGAATAAGTGAAACCGACTCTTGGGAACTACCACCATGCGCATTTATGAGACGTAACCCCACGATCTCAATTTCCCAACTGTCCTGCCACATGTCAGCCCACTGGTTACCCTAGCAGCCTTCAATCATGACCCTCGAAAACATGCGACTACCGAAACGTCTCTCTTGAACTAAACCCGCCGCAACATGCCATCGTGCGTCCTCAAACCGCGAACCTCGGTCTTTTCGCCTTGATCTTCTGAGCATGTATAATGATTAGTAAATCTCTTGCTCGATTCTATCCTTGATTTTGAAAATCAAACGTTTAGCCTTCCATCCCAAATGCCTATAAATATCAGGATCCCTACCATTCGTACCTTACGCTTTTTAAAACCTTTGAAATTTTCTCGCCGTTCTGTTTTCAAAACCTTTAAAAACCAGAGAATCTGAAGCTTCCATCTCAGAAATTTTTAGCCTTCATCACTGGCCTCTTTCATCTCAGAGCTCTCCCCTGAGTGCAACAAATGCAAGGACTTCATAGATCGGAACACAATCAAGACTCTGCGTTTCGAGGGTGAACTCGGCATCCAGCAGGATTAGGACCTCGGCAGGACCAGGACCTTGGCATTCTCTTTTAAGAAATGACCTCGACTTTTGTAAGGCTCAACTACTTTCTATTGTCAATTTTGTTATAACGAGTCTGAACCGAGAAAAACCTTAAATGTCAAGTGCCCAATTATTCATTTCACCGAAAATTCTATGCGCCAAAGGGTGTTATATATATTTCCTGGCCACCTCAGTGGCCATCGAACGTGAACTCGAGAATATTTCAGTATTTTCGAGAAAGCTCTTCGGGCTGACGATGACTTGAAAGTTACAACAGTCGGTCGAGACGTTCTTCCCCCGAAGGTCGAAGTTTTAAAGGTGAAAAAAGAAACCATGGCCGACCTTGATCATCAAATTGCCGAACTTCAAAATCGAAGGTCGTCAATTTCTTTTGAGCTTGCAAAAGATTTTGAGTCGGGCGGTAAATCTTGCTTAACCGAATACGTGGCGAGCGTGAATCGAGTTGAGCATCTGAAGATGGACAAGAGGAATCGACAAGCTGAGGTCACGATGGGTGAGGTGAGGTGGTTGAAGCTGAAGGCTGTTCTTGAATCTCTTATTCCTTTGTCACCCTAGAATTATTTGATTGTAAACTTGATTGACCAATGAAATGAACTTAATGAAATGAAGTGAACTTTTATTCTCGCATCTCCCATGTGACTGGATAATATTTCTTTAAAAACCTTCCATTGATTGGCAACTTGTGAACAATACCGGTTCGACCTCTAAGATGGTATGCCCCCTTGCCGATGACTTTATGAATAACGAATGGCCTTTCCCAATTCGACGACCACTTGCCGAATCGGGGGTCTTTAATTCCTACAGGTAGCACGGTTTGCCAAACCAGCTCTCATTCGTCGAACGTTTTTTGTTTAACTCGTTGATTATATGCACGCTCGACGATCTTCTTTTGAGCCACTAATAAGTTATAAGCATTAAGTTGAGCTTCTTCTAAATCTTCTAGTTCTTGTCTCATGGCTTGACTGTACTCGGCGTCGAACAAACTACTTTCTTCAATTATTCGCAACGAGTTGATACTTAGCTCGACGGGCAACACTGCGTCGTGTCTATAAGTCAACGCATACAGAGTCGTTCCGATGGCTGTCTGTAGAGAGGTTCGATAAGCCCATAACGCTTTGTTTATCCTTAAGTGACACATGCCTGTCCTTTCTTTTATCATATTTTCAAGAATACCAATAAGAACCTTGTTACTTGCCTCGGCTTGTCCATTCGCCTGCGGGTAATATGGTGTAGATTGCTTGAGTCGAATCTTTAGATTTGCCATATAGTCCTTAAATTTGTCGAATGTAAAGATCGTACCGTTATTTGTTATGATTGCTTCTGGCACACTGAATCTTGTCGTAATGTTTTCTTCAACGAAGCCACAAACCTCCGTAGACGTTAGCTCGGCATATGACTTGGCTTCGACCCATTTGGTGGGTGTTTAGCTGCACCAGAATATGGTACAATTTTACCGATAACATCCATGGCCCATCCTTGGAATGGCCATGGTTTGGTGACCGAATGTAATGATTCGGCTTGTACTCTCTGTATAAGCACAACTCATGCAACGAAAAGTCCCGTTGAGTTGATTAATGACAAGTTCGGAGTCACCAAGAAAAAGGACATGAGTTGCCTGTAAATCGTGCAGTACGCCAAGGCCTGATTATTTGTACAATCGAAATCGAGCTTGAGAGAAAAATACGAGCCATTATGAGTGGGGGATTGAATAACGATCCCAACGCCAGCCGAGACTGAAGTATTGGAACCATCAAAGTACATCGTCCAGTAATTATCACGAGTTTGTATCAAGCTGATGTCGACGTCATTGCCCCCGAACTCATATGGGGAATGGTGGTGGGCCAAAAAATCAACTAGAGCTTGACCTTTGACAGCTTTCTGGGGTACATATTGCAAACTGAATTCAGAAAGGGCCATCGTCCACTTACCGATTCGGCCCTTTACGATTGGCCGAGTGAGCATGTAACGAATGACATCAGTTTGGGCGATGACCTGAGTGACTGACGGGAGCATGTAATGTCTGAGTTTTGACATAACAAAAAATAGGGCAAGACAGAGCTTTTAGACGGCAGAGTAATTAATCTCTGGTGGGTTGAGGTTTCAGCTAAGGTAAAAAATGGCCTGTTCGCGCCCGGTGTCATTGTCTTGTGCCAAAAGGCATCCGATGGATTCTTCGACCGCCGAGATATACAGTTTAAGAGGTCGACCCCGTCGTGGTGGAACGAGGACGAGTGGGGTTGTTAGAAAGACTTTGATCTGTGCGAATGCCTCTTGGTGCTTGGCACGCCATTCGAAGGTGTCGGAGTCCTTGAGTTTTAGAAGCGTGGAAAAAGCTTTCATTTTCCCGACTGAGTTGGCAATAAAGCGTCGGAGAAAGTTGATCTTGCCGAGCAACGACTGTAATTGTTTCTTAGTCATCGGTGGTGGAGTATTAATGATTATGCGGGCCGTGTTGTCGTTTACCTCAATATCACGGTGATGTACGAGGAAGCCTAAAAAATTACCGGCTGATATGCTGAAAGTACATTTGGCGAGATTCATCTTCAGATTGTGCCGGCGCATGCGCAGGAATGCCTGACGGAGGTCATCCAAATGCGTATGCTGTCGTGCTGATTTGATGACCACATCGTTGATGGTACCAATTAAGTCATGGAAAATAGTGTTCATAGCTCGTTGGTATATTGCACCGGCATTCTTGAAGCCAAAGGGCATGACGACCTATTCGTATGTGCCGAGTGCCCCAGGACACCGAAAGGCAATCTTATAGACATCAGCTTCAGCGATGAAAATCTGGTTATAACCGGCATGCCCATCCATGAAGGATATGTTCTCGTGATGTGTTACGGCGTCAATTAGCAAGTCGGAGATCGGCATCGGGTACTCATCTTTGGGCATTGTCAGGTTCAGATTACGAAAATCGATACAGATGTGTAGGACGTCGTTTTTCTTTAGCATCAGAAGGATATTGGCCAGCCACTCGATGTATCGAGTGGTCCGAATAAACCCGACTTTTAAAGTCGAACTAGTTCATCTTTTATGCCTAGCTGTACTTCGGTCGAGAACCGACGAGGGGGCCGGCGGAAAGGCTTACAACCAGCCTTAATGTGTAATTCATGTTCAACAAGGGTCCGATCAAGGCCCGGCATCTAATGATAACTCTAAGCAAAACAATCTTTAAACTTGTTGAGTAATTGACAGAGTTCAACTTTCATGGCATGGGGTAACAGTGCACTAATAAATAAGGGCCAAGGGTCATCGACCGTTCTGACATTTATTTCCTCTAAGGGATCATTAACTTGGGGTCGACTGTTTTCGAGTTCGGCCGTACAGCCTGAACTTTGTCTAACGACAGTACTGGGCCGTTATCTTCGTCGGTAAAAAATTTGATTAAGTTGATGCCCGAATGTGGGTGCTTAGAAATAGCATACCAATGGGCTAGCAGACGTTCCATCGTGTATGAAACTGCGACTCGACGCCTCTCGCCTTTGACGTCAATCATCAGTGGTAGGGATTAAGTTAGCCAAGCCGAGTCATGCCGAATCCTGGTGGACAGTCTCGGTGCCTACCTCGATGGCTTTATGGACTGAGATCTGAGTCGGCCATCCATCTTCATTAAAACCCTGTAGGGTAATGTAGCCGACGTGGTCATCATAATAACGGGCCTGAATCATGTTGGTTTCAAACGGCTAATTATCAGCTGGGTGGACCACGACCGATTTACCGTCTTAAAAAATAAGAACTTGGTATAAAGAAGAAGAAATGCAATTTGTTTGATGAATCCAATCGCTGCCGAGCAAAACATTATACTTGGTCTTAGAGTCGACGATAAAAAATACGGTCATGTGATTGCGACCTGCAATATTCACCTCCAAAGGGAATACTCCTTTGGTTTAAGACTTGGCATTGACGAAGCTGCTCATGGTTATTCCTGAAGGAATGAGTTCGTCGTTGGATCATTGTAATGCTTTCATGACAGATACAGGCATGATATTGACCGTTGCTTCACAATCAACAAAAATTTTAGAGATTGGGTAACCTTCAATGTGGGTTGTGAGATACAACGACTTTAAATACTGAAGATTAGTCGAGGAGAAGCGGGGAAACAAGACGGCCATGGCTGTTTTAAGTTTCTCATCGTTGTTTGCTAGCTCATCTTTAGTGGCGGTGATGAAACCAATGTGTGTTGTTTTCTCGGTGACTACATCACCATCTAAGGAATTTGGTTGGTGTGTAGTTCGCTGAAATTCAACAGGTAGAACATGGACCATGCTGATTTCCATATTCTCAAGGACTGAAAGACTCATTGGATCCTAGCTGTCGTCTTCCGGGTTATTGAGAACTATAGCATCGTGTGTTAAAGCATCCTCGGCCTGATGATCGGGTGTCTCGACAGGTACTTGCTCTTGTGCCAAGGATCCCAACCTTGTTTCTTTGGGACTGTAATTGTCGAGCTTGTTTGTTTCCAATGTCTGACCTTGTTCTTGCAGTGTTTTTCGAGCACGTTCTTCATAGGCGATCCGGGCATCCCTTGTGTCCAGGTAGGCGTCCAAACGTGCCACCCGATCTTTCTTATCGGTCGTTAGGCCGAATAAAGATATGTTCGAGAAGACTTCGAAATGATATCGTAGGTGTTGAAGGTCTTCGAGAGAAAAATGGAGCTTAGCCGTCCATGTATGGATCGACCTTGAAACCAAGAACCAAAGCCTCTCGTATATGCTGGAATCTAGCTTTCAGTGTTGGGTCGATTGTTTTTTGGATGATCTGTTCAGCATCGAGGCAAGTTAGTGCCATGTCGAGGGTTTCTTGACATGCCTTGGGTAGTCCATACAAATCGTTGGCATAATACTTCTTGTGAGACTCTTTCATGTATTCCAAGGATTCGCCGAGGAACGGAGGGTGTAGATTCCACCGAACTTTTATTATTGGCTCTTTTAGGGGTATCGGGGAAAGTTGGCTTTCGGTTTCTTTCTTAAACTGCTTGAAGCGAGCTTTCATCTCCCTGGGTTGAAGGAAGAGTTTGATGCGCTTCTCGGGCTCTTCAATGGTAGTTTTGTAATCACGATTGGTTTCCTTCTGCCCCTGTAATTTAGCCATGATTGTTGGGGTTGGCCGGTCGTCTCCGCTTCTTATCACTTCTTTCGGCTGCCATCTTGTGGCTGAAACAGTTTGGGCCACCTGCCGTCGAGCCATGCAGTCTATATACTGACGTCGACGTTTCTGAGTTTTGGATAGTGCAATATACATACCGGTGGGAGAATTGTAATTTTACCAACGTTAGTCACGTGGTTCAGGTGGCCTGAAGGTTTTTGGATTCGTTGATGAGTTTGAACAACTGGAATTATGCGAATAATAATCCTCATTGTAAAACGATGCGTCGAAATCAATGCGCCGTCTGACCGAGGTAAGGCAGTCCGTCTGTTTCTGGGGGCCGAGCCTATCGAACACTTTCTGGCACTGGCCTTCATTAGATTCCTTTGGAGGTGTCGCCGTGGCCGTAGATTGTTGCCGCGATGTCGGAGGTAAATTTTCCTTGGGTTCAGTTAATACAACGTGTGCCCTACAATTGCTGCACAAAACTATCGATCTGTCACTTTCTTCTTCACTGGAATCTGTCATAGATTCAACTATAGCCGGTCCCGAAAACTCGGTAGGTGGTTTATTGGAAAATAAGTCGATCTTGAGTCCTGCTGGGAATGTTTCTTTAGGACGTGTTGTATTGGGACAAACTCGACCTTCCCTTTCTTTTTGCTCTTGGGTAAACGAGCTTCTACCATGCCAACTGTCGTCGAAGAAAATGGATCAGCGTCGTCTGTCATTCCTTTTTCGGGAAACTTTAGCTTGCCTATGTCAATCCAGCTCTGGATATCATCACAGAATACGACACAGTTGTTTGTGGCATGCTTGGTCGAATTATGATACTTGTAAAACGTCTTTCCTTTAAGCTCTTCGGCCTTGGGAATGTTATGTCCTGGCTGAAGTTTGATGATCTTTGCTAATAGCAATTGGTCGAAAATTGCCTTTGCCTTTGTGATATCAAAAGTGTAAACTTTCGATGTTTTCGTCGTTTTTTCAATGGCCGAGTGGGTTTTGGTATCCTTGGAATTAAGTTGAGTCAATGCCTTGCAAACATATGGTTTATCTATTACTATCTCAACCGCGTCTACACTGACGTATTGGGAATCTTCGCCTTTGGTCAATGCGTAGTTGACCGTAGGATTTTTGTAGATCGTTCCTCGGGATGAGGATTTTGAGATCTTTTCTTTT